CAGAGATATCTCAGTAAGAATGTTAGGAACCATGACAACCAAGTGATATAAATACAATAGATTGCTCTTGACAGGAGGTAGTCTTAGGAAGAAAATCCCGTTATATGCTGACTAAGAAGACGCTACAAATTGCCCCCTTTTTTTCCAAACAAACGATTCAGTCAGTCAAACATTGCCATTCGGGGAAAAATGCGATCCAAGGCAAGAGTGGCGATAAACCGACGACGGGAACAGATAAGGTCGCTTATCGCTCCCTGGGGAGGAAGAAGGAATCGAGAAAATTTGAAGACGATGTGGAAGAACGTGTACGAGGGCAGAGCAAACCGACGGACCAAGATAAGAGTTGGAGCCAGACGCGCTACCACCTTCTAGGTTATCGACAACATGCGCTGATATTTCACTATTTTAGGATAATCTGAAAATATTTTGTCTTCATTTCAGAGGTCTTTGGGTTTCAGTCATAACTGAGGCATAAAGAATCCATAGATGGTCCCGGGAATATGAGTAGCCGGGTGAAAGTAGTGATCAGTAGCGATATCCGTGCTCCCGCGCAGCCAGTGGATCCTGTCCCGTGAGGCTAAGCACGCAAGGTCATTAGCATATTCATGGTATGGGGCCACACTCCGCCGACCAATAAGAGGACAGGACGGACATCGCAGTGCGCAGTGTTGGAGCGAATACTGATCAGCTCAGGCAGGGAATACCAGCTTGAGGGATCAGGTAAAACTAGGTCATTGTTGGTCGAGGCAAGCTACCGGAAGGTTGTGCAGAAGAGTCGCTCCTACGTTCTGTGCTGACTTGTAATTCTTACTCACTCAGAAATGTTGCCCAGGAGCATGGTGCCGTTAGCCGCTGTCGTGTTGGTAGTGTCGCTAGCTGTGGCCGGCGGAGTGTTCCTGCCATGCCAACCGTGCGAAGAAGAGCTGCTGGCCCAATGTGTCGAGCCCGTCGGCTGCGTCGAAGTGGTGGACGCTCCCGGCTGTGGATGCTGCAAGACCTGCGCCCGCATGGAGGGGGAGAACTGCGGGGTCTACACCGAGCGATGCGGTAGCGGACTGCGGTGTCTCCCGCAGCCGAAAAGCAAGTCCCCCTTCCGGGAGCTGCTTCTCGGACGTGGCGTCTGCACGACGAACAAAACATTCGAGGGTAAGCACCAACGTTTTATTTTTCTTACCTTCTGTAACATTTTGTTACTTTTATTCACTACACTTCATCATCAAAGTACTTAGGCTCTCTGTTCACATAATATATTAACTTAAACTGGTCAGGTCGTCCAAGGTCCACAACTTGTGGTGAGTTGTCCATACACCGCAAAGCTCTGAGTCGTGTTGCATTACAAGTCACTTTTTGGCTCAAATAAATTCTGTACAAACGATTTTACATTAATTTTCGTAAAACTTACGAGGCTGACGGCAGGTAACGGGATGTGACGGGACTGACGTGGTTAACGGCCAACTCTGTCGATGTGTTTTTCCTTCAAAGGACGAGCATTCATGTTCGTCCAGTAATTTTGCGAATGAATTCCGATGTATCCCCAAACCAAGGTCAGGGCAAGGGGGCTCCCGAGGAAAATGCACTAAGCGCTCCCTACACATAACCACATTGTCTCCGCCCCTCAGTTTAAACTCCTACGCTTAGCGCGTGGTCATCGGTAACCAACACTCCCGGGAGCGTGACTGTTAGCTCCGGGCAGGAACCCATGTATCCAATATTAGGCGTGCCACAAGGCAAACGCCCGTGAGCGGGAGATGGTTAGCCAAAAGGGTGTTCACTGACAGAGTTTGTTTAGGTTTCGTGGCACGTAATACAGAACATGTGATTGCGGTTGCCCACATGCCCAGTCGTACGACGGAGCTGGCATAATATAGATTCTTAGCGGACAAGTGGCTTGTAACGTTACACCGTGGTTCCGGCTGACATAGCGTATGGCATAGTCGGGCAAAGAGCAGGGATGCCCTATGTTGTACAGACTGTTAATCGCTACAGTTTCTCTGCTTTCGAGCCGGAAATGGGATTGTAGCTGCTCCATGTTCTATTCTTGCTGCTCTGTCTTATTCCCTGAACAAAGCCTCCTCTTTTAGCTGCTATTCTAATGAATCATCAGTCCGAGGCCATAGTCATGTTTGAAAAAAAAAAGAGTAAACCTGCCAAACCAAGTGCAGTGTCCTTTTAGGTTTATCGATATTGACGCACATATATTTACCCTTATACATTGTATTAAGCATGGGGATACAAATGAGATTGCCAGCAGTTTTTATGTGCAGGGTGCGGTACACTAGCGATAGGGCATGGCCAACAGTACCAGCTGGCGGGCAAACACGAATAAACTGGTAACGGAGACGTAATTATGGTCAGTGTTAATAAGTAAGCGCGTGAAACCCCAATGAGGACCCCTGAGGTGATGGATAGCAGAGCTATGCTTCGCACAATTCTTCGTGGCCATTCTAAAAATTCGGCACACCCGTTTCTTCCAAACTGGCCTTATGCCTGCACGCGAAAAACATGGTTGAAATTCTCCGAGCTTCTTGTCATTTCGTCGGTGGGTGAGAAAATTTTAGTGACTTTCAAACATAAAATGCATTGGTGTGTGAGCTTTGATCGACAGGAGTGCTAGAGCTTTGTCAACGAAAAGCGGTTTTCTCCGATAAGCTGATTTGAAAAATAAACGGACTATTCTTTTCGACCGCTGCTGGTTTACTCTACCCCATTGTGTTGTGTGATGAAATCTGCCATTGGCGCCAATTGAGGAGGCTGCAAGGTTTATCTCCTGTCAAAAACGTCCCTCAACTTATTGTCTCGTTCTTAGAGGCGACAAGGAGTACTCGACTACGCAGGCACGTTGCTGAACCGTCCATAGATCAGATAAAGCTCTTGACAGCTGACTCCGCCTTTCCGTAAAGCCTTGAGGAGCGGTATGGCATCGGAGCGGATCAGGGGTGTGTGCGCAAAGTGTGCCCTCAGATCGACTCGCCAACATCGCCACAGGTGCAACATCGTCCGATAAGATGGTTAGAAATAATGTCTCCAGTGTTTCCCCGCCTTCCCAATACCCCACCAGCGACACATTCCTTCCTCGTTACCGTCCACGTTCTTTAAGCTCACGTTTAAGTAAGACGTTACAATGATCGAATCGAGAACGTAGCCTGCCGAATGGAGAAAGTTAACCAAGCCAAAGTTGACTTCCAGTGACCGGAGAGCCCAGAAAAGCCCACTTAACAAGGCATATTTGCGGTCGCCTGAATACACAAACCAGATGGAGCCTGGCTTAAATGGTGGCGCTACTTGGTCCTCTCTGGAGCCGTTTCTCCTCTTATCATAGGTTTTATCGTTGTCATGTGCACTCGTGTGGGTATAATGTACGCGTTAGCACTATGATTTAAACCTCTAAATGTGCACGTAGGTGAGATAAGCGTCCTTGATACTGCATGGTAGCCTGTCTTGCTCAGGCTGCTGACAGGCAACCGCTCATGTTCTGCTCAAACTTTTCGCAAACATCCCAGTAAAACTGCCATGGGCGGCAAGCATGGAGCTAAAACCGCAATGTCTGCAGACACTAAAATCTTTTGAATGTAGTAGCAAACAACAGCCTCGTTGTCCTCAAGAGTTCAGTGCTTCCAGCGCGCTTTGCGATTCCTGCCACGATTAACTGGAAAAAATGTCAGTCTCGCGTTTGCACTTCCAGTTCTGACGTCAGGACGCGGAGTGGCTCCTGTCACCTGACTTCCGACGGGACGAGGTGTGAATAGGCTCTTTTACAGCGCTTACGATTTCTGCAAAGATAAACCAACAAAAATGCCAGGCACACCTCTGAAGTTTCCTGAATGACGTCAGCACCCTCTGGTGGCACGCAGTTTTGTTGTATCTAACTGAGAGGTAGAGAAAGATTAGATACCTCATAACAGGCAGTGCGTAACACGCACTTTATCGATGTGCCTGGGCCGTGAAGCAATGTTTGCTTGAACTCTAGTTCGGCGTCTCCGTGATTAATTTTTCTTCACGGGGGACCGGTCCCTTGCCAATAACAACAACGACATTTGCCTGCCTGCCACTGGCAGGACAGGAGAGGAATGGGCATTAATACAACACATTAATACCGATTTTTCAATTCCTTCCCGTCTTATGCAGAGGCCGAAGAAATCCCGACGCCAGCCCCAGAGACAACCAACGCCCCGACGACCACCACTGTCGCCCCTACCAAACCACCACGCCGGTCCCACCACCACAGAGACAAACTCATCAAATGGAAGAAACAGCTGGAAGCGATGTACAAAAGAGAACGACAGCACAAGGCAAAGATGGCAGCAAAGAAGTTCTCTGAGGGAATCATGGGTCTGTCCTTCGAGAGAAGGAACCGACAGGAGGCAGCCCGCGAGAGAAACCGGTCCAACCCGAGGCTTTACAAAGATCTCAGGCACTACCGTCACAGAGGGAGGGTTCCGACAGAGGCACCAGAAGTTACAGCAGCACAGAAGCCAACAGAGGTGAGCCCAGTTCGTCTATTTAGGAAGTGATTTAAGCCCGTCGAGTAAAATCTGGCATTGGATCACATCCATATTTCATTCTTCCTGACCGTCGTAGCCATAAGCATTGTGATTGTAGCTGAATATTTACAATAACAGACCCAGAAACTTTTCCGGTCGTAACTTTGTAGAGCTGTATTCAGCTTGTGATACCTCACTTTGATGCACCTACTAGTGATTCATTAAGTACGTAGGTCTAAAGGCGATGTCCTTGTGTTCCAGGCTCCTTGTAAAACTGTCCAGAGACAAATCATTGAACAAAGGAGAGCCAAAGGAGGAACCAGTGGCTACATCCCTGCTTGCGACTTCGATGGTTACTACAGAGCAAAACAGGTAAACAGTGCGTCATTATACAGTCACTCACTCACTTTGCCTTGTACATATAGCTGTCTTAAATCTGGTCCCATTGCACATTTCACATTGCATTTTGATAATCTATTATTCATGGTCCGTTGATCCTTGCATCCTTGCCTTAATGATAATGTAGTGTATCTTTGTTTTTCTACAGTGTAACCTGTCAACTGGAGTGTGCTGGTGTGTAGACAAGTTCGGCAAGGACTTGCCCAACACACCGTACGTAGAAGGCGACCCAAGATGTATCCTGTACACAGACAGAGCCCGTATGAAAATTTGGTAGCGTCGCATTTGATTGAACCCGTCGGACTTTGTGTATAAAAGAAGAGGTTGAAGCTGAAGTATTTTGATTAAACTATATGTCCTCGTGATGCACCGCCTTAAACGGAGATGGTGCATGCGTGTTGCGTACAAGACGCGACTCGGTTGTTGAAGGACAATGGGACACTAAAGAAAAGGTCAGTGAAAGATAAGTGTGACATTTCGGCAGGGACTACGTCTTGTCGCGCCCGGCTCCCGCCATGCAGGACGCTCGATGGTAGGACAACGTCACGTGACCGTTGCCAGGCTAGTTCAAGGAATCGTTGATGACCACTGCACTGCCCACCTTCAATCCATGTAAAAGTAGAATAGACAAGATACGAGGAAGACTTTTTTTCAAAGATTAGTGCTTTTTATTTGTTCAGATGTGGCGAAAGGGTGAACGAGACTTGTATACACATTTTGATTTTTTTTCCTTGATGTTGTTGTCTTAGACTCAGGAACAAAAGGGCTAACCCAACGAGTTGGGATAAAGTTTCTGTAAATCAATGTGGCCTGGCGTGCGTATATCAGATGCGCTTGCAATTGCCACTGGTGTAATAACGAAGACGATGAATGAGGTTTACTGGATCGCAATGTCTCTTCTGCACTATATCGCTACTTACTTCCCACAGAAAAGGTGCTAACAGACTGACTACTTTATAAAACTATTTATATCTTTCGGCAACTATATACTATGAATTCAAGCTACAATAAGAAGGATTAGAAGTCTTGACGATTGAACGTACGGAAAATCAGTGTTTTCTGATAAGCGAACTTTGACCAAGCAAGACGCCGAGATAGCCCATTAATTGATTGATCTCAGGGTTACGAAAAAACACCGCCAAGCTTGAAATAGTTTTGTTGCTGTAAGGTTAATTTGAAATGTTTGGAATACGAAGAACGTATTTGTGTGAAATGAAGGACATTGTCTAGCCGGTTCCTTTGTGTATATCGACGTGTACCTATCTATATATATATCTATACATATATGAATAGTTTGGAAACCTAGTTACCACATTGCTATGTCGTCTTAGACACTCTTCTGTCACTGCTAGCGAAGGTTACCTATGTACAGCCTGGTGAGATAACTACACCTGCTTCTTAATATTTGTCTGATTGAAAACGTGAAGAAGTTCTTCACTTACACAGAAATCCATGTGTATTGACTTAATCAGGAGATGGCAAAATTTGTGATGAATACAAAAGAGAATGAACTTTATGTTTGATAAGTCTGTGTGGAGTGGATTTCTTGCCTAACGTTCAGTACATAGATCTGTCAATCACCGCAGCAATGTTGGGACGGAGTTTGGCCGCTGATTAGCTCAGTCGTTTGTTCAAGACGAACGTTTGTTTGCGTTGGCCACGCACCACCCTGACTATGTAATAGTCAGCAGTTTCTAGGGGTCGACGAATACACAGTAAGGTCTACTTTAGGCAAACAAGAGGCTGTCAATAAGTACATTCATAGCCCGGCTAGAAATGAAGAGGTTTTCAGACGAAAAGCTGACTCATTTGGTGCCTCTGTATATGCAGTGGCTGATAAGATTACATTCTGATCCATGTTTGCTTTATTGACATCCTTTAGAAGCTTTCAAAACGTTCCCACATCATAACCTCACTTTCTCCACCCCAACTCATCCCGTCGCGATCGACAGAGCGTGATGCGCCTGCGGGAAATCTGGAAATTAATGTCCATGGCACTTCTACAGAACTTGTCGTTTAAACTAACGCTCATGTATTCAAGGATGATATCCTCTCTGTAGTTTTCAAATGGTGTGTTGGAAAAAGATATACGGCGTAAAAAATTCTAATGTAACATCGTCCAAACGTCCATTAGAAACCATGATTTCGCGCAGGCGCAATACGTTCTGTCGGCGTGCTCCATACAGCCCATCACACCCAAAACACGTGATCTGTCGTCAGACATAACTTACGAAAAGTGCAAGTGGCCTGTACCTGCTGTGTTGGATATTATGTTGGAGATTTGTTCAATAAAACTCACCATGTACCATTTGTCGTTATTGTAGGAGGCTCAACTTTTTACTTGTATACTAGTGTATCTCTTTTTTATATGCCACAAGATTATTTTCATTTCTAAGCTTTAAACTGGTATTCGTACAGACACTTGGTTAAAGTACTTGTAGTCAAACGGATCCTGCAGAAACGAAAAGTCGGTCAGGGGAAATCTGTATTGAAGTTTTCATTAGTGCGTAACACTGACAAATTACTCATCCCATCACACCCCACCACGTACAGTCCCATTATGTCGTACTTAGTAAACAACAGAGAAATGAAAACGTAGCGTATCTGTGACCTGAATTGACGTCGTTAACTTCAGCATTTGATACAGGATGAAAAGGATGCCCAGATAGATTTACGTTATTAGTCAGCTGAAAAAATCTGTGGAACTTCCCGACCCAGTTTACGTTTACGGTGGTGGTGCCCAATATTGTTTTATGTTCGCACCAAACTGACCCAGACTTGGGGCAAAGAGCTGGTCAGAACGAGCGGGGGACCAAGGGGTGTGACCCACACTACCTCACGTATTGCACCCCAAACTAGTCGCCATAAACATACACTACTGACAAATCAGGGTCCACATGTCTACAGACTCCAAAACGTAACTGGCTTGAGTAACTGGCTTGAGTTGGGTCCAATTTCCAATTGGTCCGTACAGTATGTGTGTGTCTGCCGAATATTTCTTTCAAAATAAACATGGAATGGCAATTCTTAACCCTCAAGTGACAAACATATTCTACATACAGTACTGGCCAACTGCAGTCCGCATAAATCATAATCTGAAATTAACAGGTGTTTAGTCATTCAAAGTTGCACGAATCTACTGATACAAATTTTATCTTATGAAGTAGCAAAATAAACCCTGATGCACAGGCGCCAAACCATTGATCTACACATCTACATGAAGCCCCTGTCACACATTCAGAACCTTCTCCCGAACACCAGCCGACCAAGGTTGGCTGACGTTCGGGAGCAATCTGACCAGATTTCCGCCATGCCTACCTTTCTATATGAATCGAATCAAAGTTGAGTTAAATTTGAGTCATAATTGACCCCTACAAGGGCCCCGACCTAGCTAATCCCGATGTCGGGCAAGGGCTTTAGACAGTGTTGATGCAGACGCTAAGAACCATAGCATTCACATAATCATAATCATAGACTATAATTGATAAACAATATTACAGCGGTTTCAAGCTTGATTGACCGACCAATCATGTACATAAACTATGGTCGCTGGTTTGGTAATAGTTTTCCTTGAGAATTTGTGCCTTGGAGAAATTGAACTAAGCTGTGACCTGACCTATGAGCAGACTATTTGGTGATCAGGGACACACGTCACAAGTTTACGATGGGAAATTGCCGGGATGCCGATAGACGGGACCGATAATTTAAGTTATTCGGTGATTTCTTTTCCCCTTATGTTTCAGAGTCATTTACACAACCAGATGGGAGGGGGGGGGCTAAGGAGTATTCAATGTGCATGTCCTGACCAAGGCGAGTGACGCTATGCAACCATAATTGTGGAGATTCAAGTCATTGCTATTTTCCTCATTTTTACACTACGAAAAACAAACAGCGATTTTTTTTACACAGGCAGAAAAAGCACCCTAACGGCAGGTTTATAAGAATGGCAGAGTTTGCCCGGCTTGTGCAGAAAGCTGGGTCGTGTGGCTGTGTCCCGGCGTGAGTTCGACCAGATGTGGGGCTCAGGCGTAATTTTCACCTCGCTCTAAATCGTGTTCTCGTGTCCATGAGACATCACACACGTCCTCAGTGTCAGCTGGCACTCAGCAGCAAAATTCAGACCAGATCAGGGAGTTAAGCTCAATCTGCTCGGACAAATCAAGAAAATAAAGTCAAGCCCAAGGCAAATCATAAATTCAAAACGTATCTGAATTGAATTCCAAGCCAGTCACTCACGTAATAAAAGAAGTTGCAAAGTGCAAAAGTTACTAACTTTTTTTACAGCTGTTTAAAATCGAACCATGTCTACTCACTGTGACGATGGTTTGTCTAATTTGTGGGAGGGGGGCAGTTGATCGATGTGAGGTCGCAGACCTTTGTGCATAAAATATGATACACGCGGTATGTGCAAACGCGATCGCTGTACCGACCTATAAATACGCGAGGAAGAATTCAGTGGTCTGACTCTCTGCCAAAAAATGACTCTCTAGCCTTAGTTTAGACATTGGTAATATTTTGGTGGTCAGAGTAAACAACCTCAAAAAATCTCAAAAACTTTAGTGACAGGAAATATATACTATTTTCCATTCACTCGACCTCTGTGAATTCGCCACTGATATGTTGATAAGCTTATCCTTTAGCTCTATATACTTCATACATTCGTTATTCGTAATTTGTTAACGTTACTCCTAATGTGAACCCTACCGTGTCAATTTATTTGGAATTTGTCGTTTTCAGTATTTCAAGTTTTTCAAAGTCTAACAACGTCAGTAATAAAATTAAATACAAACCATTTGCTAAGTCGGACGTCTTGCATGAGTGCTACATGTGTAACGTTATGATGGTGGGCGTCCACCTAAACGCAGGGCGACAGGCTTTACAAAGGTTTGTCCTAAGATGTAGGCTGGAGCCTCAGAGGGCAAATATGTGTTGGCACAGAGTCAGTGTCGTGGTGCACCTGTTCAGTTTACATAAATGCCCATCAATATCTTGTCACGTCCGCTAGAACGTCAACATGGCGCACATAGTCTCGCAAGAGGAAATCAGTGGGGCAGATTTCAGAAAATGCACGAAAGTACTCCCAGTGGTACGGGACGCGACGGTATACTATCATATATACTATCATATATATCATACTATTGTATACGTTTGCTTTGGGTGGCGTAATGCGTGCAGTGAAGTTGGAGGGCGAATATATAATCATCGTTTTCTTAAGTCTAGCGTACTAGGAGCTAACGTGTTAACAAATACTATTATGTTACCCTGTCTTCTTCTGAGCTCGAGGACCAAGGAGATACATGGACCAACAGGTGACACATGGAACTGTACAACATACAGTGGCGTTCCTCATTACGTAATAGCACAGCCAGTCCTGATTTACGGTTTGACTGACATGTTAGAAATAATCAAATGGGCAGGGGGGTTGCGGGTTACATTTATGATCACTGTAGCGTTTCCCCCAGTTATTAAGGTCACCATTCGGCTATAAATAGGAGAAATTTCAATGTAAATGATTACATTCCATGTAATGTAAAGCATACAACCTACTTATAGCGAAAGCGAGGTACAGGAAATCATGCATGCAAGTACATGGAGCAACATTGAGCTGAAAACAGGCAGCCATACAGCGCCACTGGTTTAATGTAAAAACCATTCTAGCGAAGAGAACTTTCGTTGACTGAATAGACATGCGCCGCCAAGTACAATCGTTATGATCACAGAGGGCAGCAGAAAAGCAATAATGTTCAAAGGTCATGAATAACAAAGGTTAATCCAAATCATTCGGGTTTATTTTCCCTCGTCGGCTGGCAATATTACAAAGTGAAAATCGAAGCCTCCCTTCGGTGAACCATTTTTGGTCTGCCATAAATTTACCAACGTGATGCAACTATCGTCTGCTTCTATCACAGTTATCCTCTGAAAAGCACTCGGAATCATTGGTTTTCCCGCCTTCTTCGTTTGCGAGAGTTTGCCAGCCTTGATCTAACGGGGGTGAAGAACATGTATAGTAGTGCATGTGATCGACGCGTGATCAGCGAATGACAGATAATGATAAAACGCTGACACCTGGTATCATGATGGGGGTAGAGAAGACTCAATCGTGACAAAATGTAAGGCTCAAATAAAGAAATTTATATAACAGTTGCTCGTTCGTCCGCCTGCAGCCATATGGATTGATCAATATTGGGCCCAAAGCAATTGGCAATAGCTACTGTGAAATTTAATGGTCTTCAACATGTCATTGCTGTTTAACTTGACTGCCTAAGGTTCTCGATATCAGCACTCGACTGCAATGAAATACACTGCTTCATCAATAGATAAGCTTAAGGTTCCGTTCATCAAGCTAATAATGAAATCTGACGAGAAGCTATTTTTTTTCAAATTTTTCCTGCTCTGTCACGGTCCCCGCCCCATTTTAACAGCGCGCCGGTGAGAGACATGTTGGTGATGGGATTGATGGACGAGGCTGCTGAGATGAGTCACCTGAAACATTGTCGTATCTTTGATAGTATCGTGTTGCATGTGGCGTAACAGGCAAGTGAAATATATAATATTCATTGGCACGAACAGGTCGAGCAACTTCGTCAGACGGGATGACTCGGTTCCAGCTGGCGTGCCGTCACCGCGGCGACACAAGATGCGATCTGCTGAGAGAAATGTTGCTATGTGCTGGCTCACGTGACCCGCATTCACGTCCAGAGAGTAACTGCCAAGGATATATGAGGAAGTCAAGGACTCCCCTGGGACTCCCGGTGTTTTGATTGACGTTTGTGACAGATGAGTTGGTCTCGGCGCTGTGTTTGCGGTATCGTCCCGCCACTGTGCATGGCATCCCCCCTGACGTCCTGTGGTATCGCTGCAGCACCATGCTGTGTCCACCGGCTACATGTCACTCCCCATCAGAGAGAGAAATCCATCATGTCACGACAGTGGCGCCAGGGACAAATGCAGAGAATTACGATTATGTAATGTCCGTCCAGAGACTGACTAGTGATGGTTGATTTGGGAGTTCCCGTCCCCTAGCTACCCAACCTTTCGCCCTGTTTCTTCAATGGCCTATTGCATGATATGTTAAATAGCTTGCTTTAAAGCACACACATGCATGCTTACCGTATTATTCCTACTCTAAACTCTCTTCGTAATTCATTTTTGTCACATACCAGCTGAAGTTTGAGTGGCACCATGTTAGATATATTATTATAACTGGGACTTTATAAATAACTGAACAATCGAAAATCATGGACAGGTCCCAAGCATACCCATCACCTGATAGACGTTAGAATAGAATGTAAGAATTCTGGAAGAGGTTTC